AAAAAAAAAAAAAAAAAAAAAAAAAAAAACTTGTATATTTAGGTTTATGTTTGGTAAAACTATTTGATAAGCTAGATGATAGCTTATTAGTAATTTTCGAGTTTATAGATTATAGTTTATGACATATAGATGAAAAACTAACTTATATGATAAAAGTGTTTGGTAAAATTAGTTGATAAGCTAGCTGAAATAAAAATTTTAACAAACTTATTTGAAAAGCTGTCAAAAGAAGCTTATCAAATAAGCTCGAGCTTTTTAAATAAACTCGTCCTACCAAACAGAACTTATTTAAATACAGGAAGCTTATAAGCTAATCAAATAAGCTATAAGCTAATTTATTGGTCTACCAAACATTGCTTAAGTATAGAGTGTAGGTTCAAGACCTTGGACGAAATATATTAAATTAATAAAAATAAACACAGTCTACTTGGGATTGTTGGCCCCGCTTGGTCTTGCTGCTTAGGAAGGACTTGTTATGTTTGTTTAGTATAGTGTTGTGTTTGTTTGCTATGTTTTGTTTAGTGTTTATTTGATTTGTAGGTCTAAGTTTTTTGTTTGGGCTTTCGGCTTCTGTTTTAACCCGAGTGAATGTTTTATTATCCTGTTGGGAACGTTTCTCACTCGGGCATTATCCTTTTGGGATCCTTTAGTTCGAGGTAGTTTTTGTTTGCAATGTTGTGTCTGTGTTTTATAGCGTTGCTAGGTCCGACTCCAGGAGATCTTCGGATCTGCCTCCCATCTATTCAGCCGTTAGTTGTATCTTTCAGCATTTAACTGCTTTACTTTTCGCACTATGTGCGCTTTATAAAACCTCTATCGTTTCAAAAAAAAAAAAAACACATGTTCTACTTAATAAAAAACAATGAAATTTAAAAATAAATTATAGATAAATTGTATAAATAAATTTTGAACAATATTAAGAATCACAAATAAAAATAGATGAGGAAATCCCTTTCATTCAAAGAAAAAAACAAACAGTCAATACTCAAAACTTCCGTTCACTTAAATATATAACATAAGTTCAGTGGAGTACACAATACTCAATTGAAATTTGACTAGTAGTAACGGTAAACAATCGATCTCACAAGGAGTTTTAATTAATCGTGACTATTTTATATTCATTGAAATTAAGAAAACAATATGGAGTTGGGCGTGTTTGAGATTTTATGACTAAATTAATTAGAATCCTAACGAAGCAAACTTAAATCTAAGCAAAGAAAATAAGAACAAAATTAGATAGTTAAGAGAATTTTATAGCTCACAGTTCAGTCTAAGCCCTCACTCAGTTCGGGTGTTATGCTTGCTAATGTTTCAAAAATGTCAACTAAGTTGAAGGAGGAAATAGATCCATAGATATGCAGCACACTTGTGAAACTATGCTTATATAATTAGAAACTTGAGAAAATTGTGAAGCTACGTTTTTGCACATCTTCTTGTCTTCTTTGCAAACTTTTGCCCTTTATAGTCAAGAGAAAAAAATAGCAGTTTTTTAAGTTACACTCAATTGATTTTGTCATGTTTGGGATGACTTTTGATACTTGATATTTTTGAGATTTTACTTTTCGAAACTTGTAGTCACGAAAGTTGCATCAAACTAAGCCTTGGTGATAAACTCAATCTGAGTATAAAACATTCAACTTCAGGTAATCTACTGTACCAAACCTAATCATCTATCCGACAACAATCAAGTCACATACTTATAACTTATAAGCATATATGCTATTACTTTGATTATTTGAAGATTTTTTTTACGTATAAAATTTACGCAGATTGTTGGCTTGATTGATAATTGGTCAAGTTGGTACATGATTTATCGCTTTGATATTATTAAGACTTTTGTCAGATCATACATTGCCAATAAAAATATGTATATTTTTACACTTCACGTTAAAGAAAAAAAATAAAAAAAATAAAACCATGAATAAACTTTTGTCATCTATACTTATATAAAAAGACATTCTATTTACTAGAATTAGTTGTAAAAAAAGTCAAATGTAATTTATGCATTCTATTTCCATCAAGTATTTTATTTAATTATTTTAGTTAATTGTTTTATATTACACACCAATTCAACTTTAATTATTATTCACACACTCACGTAATTTTAACTAACCACCACTTCAAATCTTCTATCTCCTACTTTTGCATCAACTCAAATTTAATCATTTTATTTTAAATAAAATTTTAATATACCTACTAACAAATAACCATATCTTTTTTTTCAAAATTAACCAAACCAAAGCAAAAGATCTAAACAGAACACTTTTTTTATATTGATTTGTCCAATTTAAAAATTTTAGGAAAAAAAAAAAAAAAAACAGACCGAGTTAAGCTTAAATCAAACCGAAACACACCTATTAAGAGCTTAAATCAAACCGAAACACACCTATTAAGTAAGGGGAGAAGCTACGGTCCCGTTATAAAACATTCTGTCGGAATTTATAATCGTTAAATCAGTTATCCTCGACGATTATATGATGATCTAACATTACAAACCCCGACGGGATGTTTTTGTAACGAGACCTTAACATTTCCCTTAACTAAGCCACTGCCACTGGACTAAGTTGAAAACCCATCAAAAATAATAATAAAAAATAGAAACCCCACACTAGAACTTCTGAGCTTTCCAGTACGAGTACGGAAAGTCTCCAAACTGTAAGTCCAAATCGATTCAAGTATTAGCAAGCACATACAATTCAGAGATCAAAGCTCAAATCTGCAGCCCACATTAACACAGAACATCAGTCAGACAAACAAACATCCACGGCAAATCTCAGACTCCGAGTACTCTCGTATAAACGAGAAACCACAAACCACAAAGACAAAAAAATTCAAAAACCATAATCCATCACAGAAAAAAAAAAAAAAAAAA